ACCTGGACTGGATTGGTGAAGTGAGGCTTGTAGACTAAGGGTAATACAACTAAAATAAAAGCTCTTCTTATTTTTCTTTTTTCTTCCCATTCTGCTTACTTCCCTTTCACTCATAATCCCCAGATCCATCTAGTAGGCCAATTCTGAAGTGCAATTTTCTTAAGGACTGTTTGATTGAGGTAGAAGAGCTTAGCTTAATTGGAGCTTAGCTTAATGTGGTCATAATGATGATGAAGAAGACAGGGGAACATCAATTATGAGTCCTCAGTATCTTCAGGACTGTGAACAAATGCTGTATGAAAAAGAATTACAATTACCTAGAAGAAGTTTCATAAACAGCCAGAGGTTTGTTCCTTTTGTTTCTCTATCTTATACAATTAATAATTTTTATTAGAGGAATGTAACACATGTACTAGTGACACAAGGAGATGTATTTTCATAATGAGCCTAAATACAGCAGCAGATAGAATTTACATTTCTGTCTGCCATGCACTGATTGAAAATTGTAACCCTACCTGTCATTGCCCTTTTATGATACATAAGGTACTGTCAGGTGTACAGTCACTGGATACAGCAATATTTAGATGCTTTTGAAATACCAGGAATAGTGCTTTTTGATGCTCTGGATTGTTCAGTAGTCAGTCAAACAATAATGTGAAAAATTAGCATTTGTTTACACTGTTCACCACAGACTTTACACAACATTAAAATTATGTGTCATAAGTTTCACATAGAACAGGAATATCCACCCCCAGCCTGCAGTTTGGATCCAGCCCACAAAGCCGTGTAATCCAGCCTGCAGGTCCCCACAGAGGTCTGGCAACTTGTCAGTGGGGGAGTGGTGGCAATTATCACTGCCATTGCTGCTTTGTGACCAAATTTCCAATCCCCATGTGATCTGAGCTGGGACCCAATGCAGTATGTGGGATCAAGTCCTGGCTGGGCCATTCCCATGCAGTTGGATTGGACTTTGGCCCCGCATGAGTGCATTGGGCCCCAGCTAGGCCAGCACTGTGTGCTGGATCTGGCTTACAGACACATCTGGCCCATGGACAGACCAGACCAGATCTGGCACCAGTCACCAGCCTGCAGGCCAAATATAGTCAGCACCACTGATCTAGAATAACAAAAGCAAAACAATTCAGAGCAAAGAGTAAAGCTGAGATTGGCCAGGAGGTTCTCAGTTGAATAGCTTTCAGATGCCTTGTATAGTGCTTTTCCTCTGCCAAATCCCAATTCTGCTCACTTTCAGAACAGATTGTAAGGCCTATCTAATAATAGTGGGGTTACTTCTTTAGTGGTTTGGACAGTAGTACTCTGTGATGACACTGTGTTAAAACATAGTGAGACTCTGTTTCTGTTTAATTGATGCATAGGTATGGAGATTATCATTAGACTTACTTATATGAAACAATTATAATTTCTTGATTAAAAATATCTCAGAATATGTTCCAGGGTGACTGGTTCAGCATTTCCTCTCACATAAACCCTAGAAGGACTTCCCAGGCTTAAAGTTATGCATGTGCATGTATGTATCATTAGATTATGGTTAGGACTAGTTCAAATGAAGTCAGTAGTCCTACACAAAGGTAGAATACAAGACCAGAATACATAAGAACAAGTATTTGCCCTGTTATAATGTTACTGTGTGAAAATCTAAATGTTTAAGGAAAATTCTACAAAAAGTTAGGTCCTCATTCCTCACATCTGTACCTGTTTCCATTGAAATCAAAGGCAAACTTACCACTGGTTCCAGTCAAAGCAGAATAGGAGTCTAAGTTTCTTTTTCTTCTTTTTTCAATAACTTGTTGTGATGTAAAGTCTGTGGCTTTACTTTCAATATAAGATGCATTTTCTCAGTACTTCTGAAAATCGGGAAGCTAATATTTTGTCCTTCTCAAACTACTGACCCAAAATGCTGCCAGTTGTAAGATATCAGGCAGAATTCATTTTAATTTTAGAAACACAGCTTTATTGGAAGCACTAACTGGTCTTATTTCCAGCAGTGCTGTTAGTCTTTGTTGTAATACCAGTGAAGTATGGAAATGCTCACGCATAAACAAATGCTAATTTGCTTCTGCAAGTGTTTCTGAATGTTACGTAATGTGAAAAGAGCAAGTTTGGTAAGTATTGTATTGAGAAATGTGTTACTTTAAAACCTGAGAATCTACAGGAGGATTTTCTGTATAACTGAGAATAATAAAATTGAACTGCTCCATCTAGTGGTAAACTAGTATATCTGACTGTTTTTCTCTAGTTTTCAGTCCTGTTAAGGATTTGGAAGCTAGGTTCTTCTGACTGCGTGTGTGTGGGGGAAATTGCTCATGTGGGAAAAGGAAAAGGGCTGTCCTGATCCCCTCAATTCCATAGACATTCTGCGTTTTACTTCAGTGGGAGAAGAACTCTGAAGCCAAATCTTCAAAACTGGGCACCTAACACTCACTCACTTCAGGAAACTGGACACCTAAATAGCTCTGAGGATATGGTCCTGAGTCTCTTTGGTTTGTTTTCTCTTCTGGAAGGAAAAACACTTAATTATGTAAATAATTCAAGACTTTGTATGCGTCTTGAGTGGACTTCTCTGGTACTAAAGAATCATACGTTGTCAAAAACATATCTTTAGCATACAATGCTAGATTACTTTCGGCTTCTGACTTACTCTTTTCTAAATTAAACTGGCATCAGTAATACACTTTTATAATAAAATGTGATTTAGTATGTGAATTTATCTTCTCATTCACAACACACTGGCATTAAAATTCTAGATTTAAAAAAATCAATAGGAGAAAAATCCTTAGAGCAGCATTCCCAAGCCTAGGGTACAAATGGACTCAGTTTAGGCGGTGAGACAAAAGGGCAGAATTAGTAAGAGCAAATAACATTGTTTGAATCAGGTCTACCCTGCAATCTCCCTCTCTCTTAACTTCAAAAGGATGTGTTTGTTTTTTTTTAAAAGCAGGCAACTACCTGTACTGTATTTCCCACTTGGCCCCAGCTGGGATTTCATGTGTTGCTGGCTTCTGTTAGGATTGGGGCATAAGCAGTCTTGAAGAGCACAGGGTTAAGTTAGCAGAGACTCCAAACCAGTGGCCGAGGCTGCACCAAGGGGTCAAAACCAGGGAGTCCTTATTTTCTTAGTCCACAGTGATAGTCAAATGTATGATCTGGGCCAGGCCAGAAATCAGGATCTGGGGAGTTCAGGACACACAAAGGGGTAAGCAGGAGCGAAGTCCTGGGGTCCAAGGTAGGGGCAAGGCAGGAATAAGGGTAAAGGCTGGGAGTTGCTTCAGGGTTTAAGCCATAGAGCAGAAAAGGCCCAAGTGAAGGGCCTAGGCTTACACTAAGACCAGCCCATCCTGCAGGCAATTAGCTTAACCTTGGAATCTGATACCACTCTGATACTTGGTGGTGCTGCTGTGGGTTCAGATTGCATTCTAATAGCTGCAAGAAGTCAGAAAGTGGTCTGTCAACTGAACTTTTCTGTTCTGTTTTCACAACGTGTGTCCAAGCAAAAAAGAATACATGGAGCTGAGCATCTGATGTCACAGGGAGCAGCAAAAATATTTAAACATAAATATGAACGAACAAACAAAAGAGGAAAATTAAAAAGAAAATTGAAGAAAACACAGGCAGAGAAAAGCAGTGTTTGGAGAAGAAGAAATGAATAGGAGAAAGAAAGTAAGGTGATAGCTATTCCAGGGCACACAGCAAGGGGGCACATTAGAGTAACCATCTGCCATCTCATGTGGGGCTCTAATGAGAACAATCTTTTCTGAGCTTATTTTTCTTAGGTCAACATCATTTTTTTTTTTTTTATAAGCTGCCATTGAGGGATGTAGGAAACAAAAATAGTTCAAAACTGACTCAATTCAGATTTGTGTAACTTTTACCTCTTCTTAGTAGAGAGAGGTCTGAACACCCCTGTTTTGTTCAGGAATCATCTTAGGCCTCAGGTGCTTGAAAAAAGTATTTATTCAAAGATCATGTCCAACTCCAACTACAAAACAGAACATAGGCTTCTGCAATGCTCATCCCAAGACTTTCTGTCTTCACTTTAAATGTGCAGGCTGCAATACCACATCTTCATTTTCCAGCCAAGATCAACAGCTATCATACAATAGAGATATAACAAACAATTCCAAAATCCTTAAATCCATCTAGTAATGAAACTTATTAACAATATTAGATTAACCCCTGAGGTGCCTCACACTATTACTTGAACTTTCAGGATGCCCTTGAAATACCATGTTTTACCCATACCTTTTCCCCCAAAACCATCTTAGGGAAATTGGAGTGTGGATTATGCCAGGAAAAGGGATCCCCATGGGTTTGGAAATTTGGTGTGGGGGCAGGGGGCAGAGTGGTGGCAGCATCCATTATCATGGCTCAGGGAGCCATGGCAATTAACATTGCCACTGTTCCCCCTACCCTTCTCATCAAATTTCCAAACCCATGGGATGTCCTCTCCCCATCCTCACCCTGGCATTTTAACTAAAGTTTGTCAGACTTTTGAAGCATGGGGACGCTGAATATGAGATGACGCTAGTGCTTTACAGTGGCTCTGAGAATCAATCAGAACAGCAGAGAGCCACCCTAATTAAAGCACCTTCCCCCACTCCTGGAGCACATGTATGTGCCCCCCACAGAGCGCCCTATGGGTAGGTTGTGGCTGTGTTGGTCTAAGGACATAGGCAGACAAGGTTCTTTGGGTAAATCCGATATCTTTTATTAGACCAACTCAGCTAGTTGGAAAAATTCTTCTTAACAAGCTTTCAGGCACAAATTACCTTCATCAGGCTAAGGAAGTGTTTGCAGATGGTCTGTGCTCATCCTGGATGAAGTAGTAAAGCAGCCTTCATTCATGTTCATGAAGTAATGGAAGCTCCCTGGATGCCAGATCATACTGTTTTATTTATTTATTTATTGGTGGCTTTATCTAGCTCTTTATATTTCTGAAAATCCTTTATTCCTCTAACAACAATTTCAGATGGTATGGTTGGAGTGTTGCTGTAGCTATGATGGTTCAGGAAATATGTGAGAAGCAATGTTAGTTCAGTAATGGTTTTTATTGGACAAATGGTATAGTTGGGAGAGATGTTATACATGCTTTGGGCATGAAGTGCCCTTCAACTTCACCAGCTTCAGAGGCAGTCTAGTTTCTGGCTTTTCTGTTAAGCAGAGTATCTGCAGGATATTTCATTGTTGCTGTCCTGAAATACAACACAACTAAGTATGAATGAGAGTTTGACTCCACAGCCTTTTCTGTGGTTATTTGTTTATTTTTTACACCATTTTCTACTGCCCCATTGGATTGGAGTTAATGTGTATTAAATGTTACCTGTCTAAATCTGTTTTTCACCTCAAAGTGCTTGAACTCACACCCACAAAACTGTGGTCCATTGTCAGTAATTACTGTGTTGTATACCGTGGGGCTAGCAAAGATAAATCAACACCTTCCTTTTACTCTGGAAACCATTCTGGGAAGATAACAAGTAAAGCACTGTTTAAATCTTTTTTTTCCAGTTACTCTGCACACTTGCAAAGACTTTCAGCTCTGTTAGATGTTGTAAGTGCCAAATGTTTCCACGCAGGTTATCTTTTTTTGTTTTCTATTTGCTTTGTATGGTGTTCAGGAACCACTCAAAACCTAGGGTACTTGAAAAAAGCATGCATTACTCACAGACAAGTTCCAACTACAGCAGCACAACAGGCCATACATTTCTGCAGTGCCCCTCTCTAAACTTCCTGATACCAAATTTAACCCATACACTTCAAGGTGTAGCTTCTAGTAGCACAAACCATTTGTATCTGTTCTTTAAAGAGCTAAACCAGAAATAAACCAGAAATGTTTCCGCTCTCTAACCCTTGTATTTACTCCAGGGGTCTCATTGGTGTAGGTATGTTGATAAAATTCCCCATATACATATAAGCCCAGAGTTTCACAGTCATCTTGTTTCCTCCTTTAGTTTATCAGTTACCTTTAAACAGAAAGAATAGACAAGTGGCACTAAATTATAATGCACAAGAAGTACAGAGATTTTACCAGAGCTGTTCATATTTCTCCAGTATTTCTGAACTAACGTGAACTTTCCACTGTTTTGCTAAACTGGCTTTTATGTGCTACACAGTATTTCTCTGCTGTGGTGGAAAGGACTTGTGATAGCATAGCAGCTGGAGCTGTGAACTGGGCATATCAGGGAAAATGTTAGGAGCCTAGAAGAACTTTTGTTTATTTGCCTTGCATATCCTGCATTTTGGTTTCTTCTAAACACTCATTTGCCACACTTTTCAACTTTCAGGGACTAATATGAAGGCATTATTGTTTGGTGGCTAATAGTAACTGACTGGCTTGGAATAAAACCTCAGCAAAGAACAGAGAAAGAGACATGGCAATAAAAGCAACCTTTGAGGTGTCTTTCAGGGTTGGAGTTAAGCCTGGGCATGTGTGTGTGAAATTGGATTGTGACCTATGGGCAGTTATATATGGCATATGGGAGTGCCTTTGAGTATTGTGGTATTGTATGTGGGAAAAGAGTGAGGTGCTGCATTATTTTTTATGAAACATTGTACATCTCAGTTTAGCTGTTAACTTGGGCTGCCTGTTTACCTGACCTCAGAGGTTAACATCTTTTTGGAGACACTCTTTGAGGGGCGGGGAATAGGTGTTCACAGAAGTAGCTTTGTCTGAGTTGGATAAGTGGACTGTTAAAACACACTGACATTTGAATAGATCTAGCTGGGACATAGGATGGACAAGCAAAAGAAAGTTGCTAGCCCTAGCAAACTGGTTCTGCCAAGGGGACTGCAAACCAGACAATAGGACAACTGGGGAATTTTGATCCTCATAAAACTGATTAGGGGGCCCATCTAACAAAGGAACTTAGAGATTTTGAAAGAAAGTCTCTCACCAATCTCGATAGGGTAAACCTGGGCAAGAGAGAGGCTGCCCAGCAAGATGATGGGTTCACCTGAAGATGAGTGTGATTGCCCAAAAGGTGAAGCCATGTGCAGTGGGAGATCCTGGACTTTTTTGAGGTCTCTGATATGAGCCCAAAGATCACTTGAGAGTAATGAGAAAGCTGAGGTAGGAAAATGTGTGTAGGTGTGTTTATTTTTCTTATTTTTGTCTGTATATATTTCTAAATTAGCAAAAGCAGTTGTGCTTAGAAGCCTCTACAAAGTCTCTATGCCTGCCTGCTTTCAGCTGTCCTAGGTCCCTGAAGAAGGAACTATAATTATAACCTTTTGGGTGGCCTGGGTCTATGTGAAAGGGTGAGCTAACTGGACTTAAGGTCTCAGGGCAGCTGGGCTACATGATCTTATTTCTGAACAGGTAAGACATAGTGGTCCTATGTCCTGGAAATGTGACATGAAGGCCAAAGGAAGACTTAGTGTTGTAGCCAACCCGGGGCAAGAACACAAGGGTTGAATATTGGGGTCCAAACAGGGCAGCTTAATGATTGTCCAGACAGGAAGAGCTCTACCAATGCTGAGACATGATATTCAGTTGGTAAGGCATACGTGGAGGTTCAGTTCACCTTAACTGGCTATTTCCTTTTTGTTAGTTACTGGAAAAGGGGCTTGGACTGTCTTAAGGTCTGCTAATAACACTTTTGTGGGATTTGGAAAAGAGAGATTTTGTACGTTCTTAAATTAATAGGGCCCAAGTCTCACATGCAAATGCTGTAGTCCCAGAACCAGATGCATTTTGGCTATTGCTTTTTAAACTGTTAGGATACAGAAGAGGTTTCAGAACTAGGCAAGAGTGGATGTTATGATGTTTATATAAAGAGAAGTGAAGAGTTTAAGAAAGTATAGAGGGAGGAAGTATAGGAGAGTACAAAGGAATTGCCTACCAATCAATTCAACTTCAATTCCAGAGAAGAAGACATTAAACAAGTAATTAGATAGTCAATCTGTGGCCTCTTGGAAAAGAACAGTGTGATAAATAACAGTCAACAAGGGTTAGTTCAATCAATCATGTCAAACTAAGAATCAATCATGTCAAACTAACCTAATTTCACTCTTTGATAAGATAACTAATTGAGTAGCTAAAGAGAATGTTGGAGATATCACATACCTTGATTTTTGAAAAGGTAGTAGATATAGCAGCATATAGCACTCTTTCTGGGAAATTAGAGAGTTGTGTGATTGGACTATAATCAAATGTCCCTTTAAGGTAGAAATGCAAAGAACTTTTAACTAGGATAAGAATATGCTTTATTTATATGGCGTTGTATGTGCCCCAAGGTGCTGTACTCCAGTCTGAGAATCATGAAGCTAGGTAAACATTCCACTGCAAATTATTTCTGTAACACACACACAAAAAAGAGATTACCCATTAGGGATCCAGTTTTGCGCTATTAAAAAGAGTTACACTAAACACTTATCAACTTCAAGAGGAACAGGGGCCATACTCTTTCTGCCTTACAACTATGAGGAGTGAACCTATGGAAATCTACAGAATTATTTGCTCTGTAGCTTGAAGTTTTTTAAAAAGAAAAAAAAAAAAAAGCTGTCCTATTTGCATGAATTTAAAAAAGAATAATGGTTAAACCTATTGGACTAAAGCTCAGGACAGCTAGGAGTTTTCATTCTTATTTGTGCCAGACATCCTGTGCGACCCTGGACAACTCACTTGGTGTTTCTGTTTCTCAGCTGTAAAATGGGGATAATACTTCCTTTCTGCTCACTTTCAGGCCCCCCCTGGGATTTGAGCCTGGGTAGGGTTACCATATTTCCAGTATCAAAAAAGAGGACACCTGTAGGGGGAGAGGGAGGGGACATATGATTGTGGTGGAGGGTAGTAATATGCCCATGCCCTGTCTCTGCCCTTCACTCCTAAACCACAGCCCCTCCAGCCCTGCTGCTGCCTCTCACTCCTGACCCACTGTAACCTGCCCCCCAGCCCTGCCCGTGCCCCTCACTCCCGACCTGCAGTCCCCTGCCCCTCCAGCCCTGCTACCCACCCAGCTCACATGCACATATACTCTCTCTGTGTCTCCCTCTCTTACCTGCAAGCAGTTGCTGGGGCATGCAGAACACATGATCCCCCAATCGCCTTCCCTGCTGCCCTCAGCCATAAGCAGTGAAGCCACAAGTGCCTAGGAAAAGCCAGAACAAAAACCCAGACATTTACTTGCATTTCAAAAACCTACCTGGACAGGGGGCCTAAAAAGAGGGCACGTCCGGGAAAACCCAGATGTATGGTAACCCTAGGCCTGGGTATTTCACACCCACAAGCAGACGCCTAAGCTATAGCAGGCTGGACACCAGCCCGACCTTCTGTGAGGTTCCCAGTGAGGAACCAAGTGACTTGGGTGAACCAATGGGAGCCACAAGTCCTTGATATAAAAACCCTCTCATTCCATGTATGGCCTTTTCCCACCAGGACTGTAGTTAAATGTTGCTGCCTTGGGCAATGCCCTTCCTCCTCCCACCCCCTGCCTCCCAGAGCAGGTGTATAAATCCCCTCCATTGTGAAGTACTAGGAAAGTGTGCACTAGCCTGTCTTAATGTGCATTAACTAAAGAGCATGGTTTTAAAGTGACACATAATGTGCATTAGCTAAATAGCATGTTTTTTAATGATGCTTTAATATTAATTAAAGTGCATGTAGATGTGCCCCCTGACTAGTAAACCTTGTTGAAATAATGGTAAACTCACTGAGCTCTTACCAGTGAAGCTGCTTCTGCACCAATCTGGGGGGCTAATTAACTTGGTAGCAAGCTAATTGATGCTATTATTCAGCTGTGGTAATTAAACCATTTTGTGGACTTGACTCCTCCGTTTGAGGAGGCAGCCTGGATTAGCCCAGTGTGTTCAGGATCCCACTCTGGAAAGTGGTAAGTTGGCCACATAAATCTGGCCCATCTAAAAGGAAATATCTACTCTTATTATGTGAGGTGACCTGTAATAAGCACTAAGCCCAAAAGTGTTTGTATACTTGGACCTTTAGGCTCTAATCTCAAAAGGTGTTCTTTGTAGGCTAATCAGTGTATCCAGTTCAGTTGGGTGGGTTTCCTCCAGGGTCTTCCTGGGAGACAGAGTACAAGACAGAATAGTTCAGATCTCCAAAGCTCCACCTGAATAGACACTGTGAGGAAATGATCACAGAGAAAAATTCTGTGGAAGAAGTTCTCTCTCGAGTCAGCTGCTTTTGAACTCTAGATTTTCCATCTCCTGAAAGCCAGTTCTGAAAACATTGTCAGGTGGCACTGTTTTTATTTAATAAGCTAACCATTTGTCTTAAATAAAATATCCCCAACTAAAAAATAGCTCAAGGTGCATATATAGAGAGTGGCTTTTAAATGGCTGTAATCAATGAAGAGAAACTTATCCCATACAAGCTTCCTTAGCTAAAAGCTAAACGGAGAGAGAGGGGATTTTTTTAAAGCATCTTGATCTCCATTAGACCTTGGGGGGGGGGGAAGTGATTCCAAAGTTGATGGCCTTCAACCAAAGATGCTGACACCAGTACTGTGGGCATGTAGACCTGCAGCATGTTAACTGTTGCCGGTTCCTGCATTGGTACATGTTATATAATTATTTACACCGGACGAGCTTTTAAAAAACACACTCAGCATTGACGTAAATCTACCCTACTGCAGCCTATGACAAAGCTCCTGTTAATTTCAGTGGGAACAGTTAAGCCAATGCCGAGTGCTTTAGCAGCTCCTGCCAAAGGTAATGAGAGTATTGTCATTGACCCAGCTCTGCTCCCACTGCAGTCAGTGTTGAGTATTTTTGAAAATTGCATCTCTAATGCTCAAATGTGTTCTGCGAGCGTGTAATTTATAGATGGTATAGGCACGGAGATGCAGCCCACAGATTTTTGTTTAAAGCTTTCTTTCTGTTGGTTTTTAAAGTATTACTTAGCTATTTGACTTTCTTTAGCCTGAATCTTATTATGTGGCCTTCCTATAATTCCTATTCCCTTGCCTGTATTCTATCTGCTTTGTTTTTAAAGCAAACTTATTGTTATTTTTTCAACCCTTTTGTAATAAAATGACCTATGGCAGGGCTTGTCAACTGGGGGTACACATCCCCCCCCCCGAGGTACTTGGAAAGGGGCTAGGAGGTATGCATGAGCGGGCAGGGATGGAGCACCGCCACCCACCACCTTGTGCCACCGCCTTCCAGGAGCAGGGCCAGGAGGGGACGGGGACAGTTTGGTCAGCAGCTCCCTTCTGCAGGCCACACAGGCGCCGCCCAGCCAACTGGACATGGGGAGGTGGGGGATGGAAAACTTGCATGTGGTGGCCACTGATGCCATCCATTCCCCTCCCCCACCCCTTGCATCCCTCCCCACTCTGCCCTAAGTGTACCCAGAAGGGGTACACTCCTTAAAAAAGGTTGAAAACCCCTGTCCTATAGAACAAGTAAAAAAGGAAGCAACAGTTGTTCACAAGGAACTTGAATACTTGTAGCAGCAGAATGTCATGAAAAATAAGAGATCTAACTAGCTAACATATGCAATAGCTTAAGCATCAATACTGGAGGTCAGTTTGCCTGTCTTTCACTTAGATTCTTGATTCTAAGAAGGCTAGAAGTAGGCTCCTCCACCCCCAGTGCCTTAAAAGCTCTGTATTTGTTGGTCCCCTGGATTTCTGTGAGCTCCCTTGGTTTAGCCACTCACAGGAGTCCTTCCCAGAATGTCCTTTTAGTAACTGGCTATTCTGTTTGGAGCACATAGTAAGCTTCCTGTACTGCAGAGTGTGTGGTACTCTCCATGGGTCACCAATTGACCTAGAAACAGAGTAGCTTTGTTTTAATGATGCATCCGGAGGCTAATTAGCTCAGGGGCAAACTCTCTCTCTTTTTGTATGGTGTCAGATATCAACTTCCAAATCTGAGCCACTGTCAAGCATTATCGCTCAGTGTGTGTATTCCATCTGCCCCGTCTGGGCATTTGTGACACAGTGCTGTGCTGTTTGTTTGATACTGCATTCATGTAGGGGGCTGTTCAAGATGTTCATCTTGTGAAGTGTTGTTTTGAAGAATCCATATCCAAATACAAATCTCAGTCTGTTCAGTTTGACCCACGCTTCTCTGTCAAGGTCATGCTCAGTGGGGGAAACTTGTCTGGTGCTGGTATAATGCTGCAGGAATAAGTCTGACCTTTCCCAGTGGTCAGCCCACTCCATTGCTGCCCATAGCTTTGGTTCAGCATCCTCAATTTTTTCCAGGAGCTTGTGGGCTTCACATATAAACGGTTTATGACTTTTAAGCCTCTTAAGTCTCCATCTGTTCAGGTTTTCAGTTAGCAGTTGATGGAGCAGGTAATTTTAATCATCTCTCGCCTCTGTTGCCAGTAATGATGTTAGGGTTGGTCTTATGCCTGAGAATACAGGAAGGGGATGAACTAATTGGCGTAGTCGCTTTGCAGTGCTAATTAGCTGTCTGTAATGAAGTGGGTGCTGGAGTGATGAAACCATCTCTCCTGGCCACCACCTGGGCCCCGTGGTGTTGCCCCCTTTGGCCCCTCAGGGTCCTATCCTGTTACTCATCTGCCATGCCTTGATGTTATAAGTTAATAGGGAGGCTGCCTCTGGAGGACCAAGAGGATTTTGGATGGTGGGCCTTTATCTGGGTTGGGATCCCTGTGGCCCTGTCCCACTTGACTCTGGCTGAGCCCCTCAGCCTGAGGCCCACTGTCCCAGGACCACAAGATCCCAAGTCCCAGCTTCAGCCACACTCTTGCAGCCCAGGCCCCCTGGCTCCTGCTCAGACTCTCATAGGCTCTGGTCTGCCCAGCCCCTGGTTTCACCTTCTGTGGGCTCTGGGCTTGTGCTCCCAAGCCTCTGCAGTCTGTCACCAAAGCTCTTTTTGCTGGCAACAGCACCAGGGATCTGGGGTGTCCCTGGGCACCCCCGCTTAGTAGCTTTCTCCTCCCCTAGAGCCACAGTTCGGTCCTCCAGTTCAAACAGAAACCAAAAAACATGAGCATCTGCTGCAAACTCAAAGGTTACCTTTCTGGGGGTGATCTTTCCTTGTAGAAGCCCTTGTCTAGAGGACCTAAGATACTTATCTGCTCCCAATTCAGGATATGAGGTTTTTTCCACCTTCATTGCAGCTCTGGGTGCTTCTTCTGTAGCCCAGAGTCTTTTCTCCAGGCTTCCTGCCCTGGCTGCTGCCTGGAGCTCTGCCTTCTGCAGCTCCTGCAGCCACACTGCTTCTCTGGCTTGGGGCTTATGCTTATAAGTCCCTTCCTAGTTCACCTGACCCTCCACTTCCACCCTAGGCCTGCCTGTCACTGCCTGCACCTGGTATAAGTGGGCATGTTGTTACAGGGTTCCTTGCCTGTGTTAGCTCGCCTCAAGTGGGGGAGGGATGGTCAACCCTGGGATCCCTCCCTTGTTTAGTACTGGGGTAAGGGCCCCATTACACTGTCCTGTAGCATGTTGATGCTGCTATTTTCTTTTTGGTAACCTGCCAAGCGCAGCAGAATGTAATTGAAGGTGTTGTTCTGGGGCACGTGAAATTTAATATACAGGCGTGGTCTTAATCTTGGAGAAAGAAAGGACTGGTCTGAAGTGGTCTGTGATAGCTGTTAATTGTGGCTACCTCCTTTCAGCTCCACCATACCAGTCTGCTTTTCTTTTAGGATGTATTTTCTTAGTTTCCTGATCAGCCAAGGAGGTTTATCCTCTGCTTTTTTTGTGTGGCTGTTTTATCTCCCCCCTAATTTTATGTTGCTTTATTTGTTTTCTATTTGTGAATTAATATTGCCTATGGGATTTAAACTGAATAAACTCTCTTCTTCTTTTGCTCACAAATGCAGAAAGATGTAGATGAGGTATATAATTTAAAAAATGAAGTATACAGATACAAGAAAGCATTCAGGAGATGGTTTAGTTTGTTACTTAAAAGTGAATTTACTAACTATGAAACTTTTCTGGCAGACAGACACTTTATATACACATTTCAGACCTCAGCAGTCCATGCACTTTATTCTTGATGATGACAGGGTAGGCAGGCAGCTCTGTTGGTGAGGGTTTAAATCAGTTCTCATGCCCAATTCACCCTTACTTTAACTATATATTTTCAGAAATGGTCTCAATTATTATAAAATTATGCTAGCTTTTGGAGTCAATAAGGAGCTAAATATCACAAATAAACAGCCTAATTCCTTCTACATAATGGTCACAATGTTGCAACTCTTACTCAGGCAAAACTCCTATTGAATCCCAATAAGGTCTGAAAGATCAGGGTTTAGTATTTATTTCAGTAATTGTTTTCCTTTATGCTACTTCTCGTAACATTTTGACAAACAAGGAACAAACAGCTTATCTCATAAAGATTTATGGTCTACAGCTTCTTTAGTTTTGTGAAGAAGACATCTGCTGTGCAAACAGCAAGGTTAAAGTAATTGCGCATGAAGTAAATACAAGCCTTAGCTAGTATTTCATTCTGAAAACCAGTTTGAACAATACTTAGATAACTTCTGCTAATGGAAGTCCTTTCATAATCCTGACCCGTACATACAGTTTTGTCAAATCCAAGGTCAGATAGAAATTTAAAAATAAGCTTTCCATGAACTTTTGTAACCACCAATTCACATTTGTGAACATGTTCCCTTAGTAAAAGATACTAGCTATAGTTTATTTTTTAAGTTCTTAGATAGGTTTTGTTATTTGATCAGTCATAATAGAAAAGGAACTATTGTCTATTTGTTTAGAAAGTGTCTTCTAAACCATTACACTGACGGAGAGAAGCAGTTCATTCTGAATTGATTAATGGACTGTAAGTATCTAGAATTGCTTGGTCCAGTCACTTTGTTACTTGTTCATCTTTCTAAACAATCAAATGAAGCATCTCTGAAGCTTCCTGATTGATGCTGTCAGCTTTGTACTGATACTACAGTGTGTTTCAGCAAATGTTCAAAGTGGGGCAATAATTTTCAATTTATTTTT